CAGGATCTAAATGAGTGACTTTCTGTATAAGTCATTGAATTGTTCACTCAACCAATTTGTTCAAAAACGCTGATTGGTAAAGGATCGAAACAAGTGACTTTCTTAATGAGTAAGTGATTGAATTGTTCAGTCAACTGATTCATTTAAAAACACTGATTAATTCAGGAATTAATCGAGTGACTGTATGAGTGAGTCATTGAATCATTCATTCAATTGATTCATTCAAAAACTGGTTCATTCCAAAATGAAACAAGTGGCTGCATGAGTGAGTCATTGACTTATTCAATCATTTGAAAATGCTGATTCATTCAGGAACCAAACAAGTGACTGACTGTATGAGTGAGTCATTGAATAATTAACTCAACTGATTAGTTAAAAACAGCTGCTTCTTTCAGTAACAAAAGTGACTTTCTGAATTACTAACCACATACTAATAACTCTATTTTCTATATAATGATATTAATAATGAAAAAATATTAAGAGTAGTTTGCTAGTACGCAGTTCTGAATTCCGCCATTGTCTGCATGAGTGAGTTATTGAATCATTCACTCAACTGATACTTGCAAAAACGTTGCCTTATTCAGGAACAAAAGAAGTGACAGACTATATGAGTGACTCATTGAATTGTTCCCTTAACCGATTTGTTCAAAGAAACACTGATTCATTGAGGAATGAAACATGTGACTGACTGTGAGTGAATTATTCACTTAACCGATTTGTCAAAAAAAATTGATTTATTCTGAAATTAAAAAAGGGACTGACTGTACGAGTGACTTTTGATTTGTTACAAAGCTAAAATCTAAAATATATAGTAGTTAGTTACTCAATATAAACTTCTTGTTTACGGAACTGTTTGTATAAGATAGTTTCAGATTCATAGAAACAGTTGCTATTCATAGACGTTTTAATCGTGGAATATTTTCTCCCATGTGCTGCTGTACAGGCGCTGTCAGTGTCACTCCAGGGTTTTCTGAACAGTATTGTGTACGCATGGAGACGACGCAATTTCAGAGACGCCGTGCTGGGGGAACGTCTGCCTCTCATGGCCTATTCTAGCAGAGCCTTCTTTGACCAATCGTTAAATGAGCCATCATGAAATCACAGAAATCATGTACATGTTATGTGTGTAAAAACATACGAGCTTTCTTTTACAAATATGTTTGCTTAAATGTTTTCTATTTATTTTTATATATATATTTGTGATAACCATTGATAGGAAATGTTATATATTTTGCTGCCTGCAGAACAGTAGTATACTTCAAATGCATAAAACAATAGTGGAGTCTCGAAAAGACAAATTATTAGTGGATTATTTTCAAACCATACTTTTACCTTACTTACAAGAGTGATATATAATAACAGCTGTATATTTGATAAGATGTTCAACTGCAGTTTTGTTCAATAAATATCTGTGTTTAGCCAGTATTTCTAGTTCTGGACTGAAATTTTGCTACTTCATCTCTTACCTAACAATGACAAAGCAAAGTATGCCACAGAGCCATGCTAGTAAAATGTTTCCTGTGTGATAGTTCTTTAGTACAGAACAGTCAGATATGTACTGAACAGGATGATCATGTCACATGTCATATGTTGAGTCGACAGCATGAACGTTCCTTTGGTTTCAGGTTGGACACAATCAGATCCAAAACTGAGAAAAATTAATAAAATCAAGATATATTTCAGTTGTGGTAGATTAGCCATTATGTTTATTGGGTTTATTGCAGTATTACAAGGGCCATAAAATTGTGACGAGTGGAAAAAAACAGGATCATGTGGTATATTACATAATGTTATATAATTTTTTTTATATCAAAAGTGATATCAAAATTGCTTAATAAAAACACCCTCAGGCAGGCTAACTTTTTTTAGTGCCTATGGATAAATTAATGAATGAATGGAAAGGTACTCACAGAACCAAAGCCCCTCATTTATATAATTAAAGATATAAATAGAATTCTATTTTGTATTCGGCAGCCATGCTTAGTATTAAATGCATAAAACCTGAATGTTTATCAATCAAAATACAGTTTTAAAACGCCTTTGAGCGAGGCATTTGGCTATTTATACTGTTGAAAAGAATGACAAATTACAGTTTTAGTGATCATTTGATCACAAAAACTAGTATGCACATAAAGTATATTATATGGGATCAGCCCTGGGATTTCCCTTTAGCAACTTCCTGACTCAAACACTGAAACTGACCTAATTTCACAGAGTTTGTCTGTGTTAATAGACCTGATTTCTAGATTTTAGTAAAGAAATATGCTCAAATGAAGAAAGCATAGCATTTTAACTGTAGCATCTTTATGATTTATTAATTCACAGCAGCAGATTTAGCTAATCAGTAAAAGCAGACTAATGCCTTTCAATAAAGCATTAAACTTCAGATGACTGTTCCTGTAATAAATACTAGACAAAAGCATCTTTTAATGATCAGAAACACAGCCGTTTTTCAGTCAAAAGACAATAAATCTATGCATTAAGGGTCTCATTGTATGTTTATTTATGTTCATTTTTATGGTCTATCCTGTCATTCTGACCAATATATGCTACTGTAGCAAAAACAGTACAAATGTGCATGTGTAACACAGGGCTCAGTGAGGCATGAAGAAAACAACTGGAGATTTACTGAATTTAAAATAAAACTCCACGTGACAATCTAAAGTGTGACATGACAAACCATGCATGAATGCTCAAGATGACACAAACATGAATAAAATGAACAAAACATCTGAAATATGTTAGAGAGAACCAGACGAGGGGAAAAGGGCATGACATTTCTGTACAGTTTGGTTTATGACAAAGGTTATGTCTACGGTCATAATATGGTCATAAAAAAGTCCTTTGGCTGCGCAGTGATGTCAGACAAAATCATTTATGTGGGTGGTTTCATGTGCATTTGGGAAGAATGAAAGAAAAATCGTTGAAGAAATTACTATTATATTCCAGTTTTCTGGTTACATATTTACTGTACGTTTCTTTATTATTAAAAATTGTAATTTTACATTACAAAATAAATGTCTAAGGGCTGTTTTTATGTGGAAAAACTTCATACTACAATAAAAATGACAGAAGCAGTAATGTTCAAACTGCATGTTTGTATGAAATAAAAACATTAAATTAAACACCAATGATTAAATTACTAGAGCATGTGCTATATTGTGAATATGCAATATAAACATGCAAATACAGATCACAATATAGCATGACCTTGAGTTCCTTGTTGCTGTATTAAGAAGAGGGTTTTTTTTATTAAAATGTTAATGATATAAATTTGTGTACCTTAAAAACAAATAAATCAATGAATGGCAATCAAGGCAGTGTTATTTTTGCATCATTGAGCTACTATTATAGTTTTTAAAAAGATATTTTGAATTACTTTTTTAAAACTATGTTTTTTATTGTAATTGTTGTTAAAAGTCGATTCATTTTGTTGTGTTTTTTTGTCATTTTTATTATAGTTTATGTCTATACAATTATTTAAAATAAATTTTATTTCAGTTTTAGTTATTTTAGTACAAGTTGAACTAAATGAAAATAAGAAATGTTGCTTTGGCAACTAGCTGAAATTAAATAAACGCAAGTAATTTAATTTTTTATTTCAGTTAAGTTTCAGTGTAAAAAAAAAATGGTTGTGGTTTTAGTTTTGGTTTTAATTTACTTTAATAACCCTGATTCAAGGGGTGGCAAAAAGGAGGTTCTGAGAACGACAAGAAAAACATTGAAATAAACTAGTAAAATAATAAAAGAAATGTGAACATTTACAGCTATGTATTATATTATATTACTGAATTATATGACTTCCGCTCCACTCAGAAGTCCATATGAGGGAGCACTGTTGGACCAATGAAAAAATAATGGCTAAAGTAGTTTTTTTTATGTTAAAACATGATATTTATTTTCACAGAATTGTGTTCACGTGACAATGCTCTTGGTAATCCCCATGAGGCGGTCATAAACAACACTTTAGAAATGACTTACTCTCCTCAATAAACCTCAGTGAGCATCACTGCCTCCTTTAAAACACAACCACAACACCAAACACCACAGCACAATCCAACCTACATCAGATTAGATTGCTTCAAAGAAAGGGGAAGAGAAAGCAAAATCAAATGAATACAGACACAATCCACAGTCCTTCCTCCCATCTCTCCATACAAACCGTCTACTCATCAAATCATCCACAAGCCATCTGACAACTTTTACTTCACAAAAAACAGTTTCTGATGATTTTTTCAGTGGTTTTATATACTACAGAACTCAATATATACACTATAATAAAATAAAATTGATCAAAAGTGACAGTAAAGACATTTATAATGTTACAAAATATTTCTATTTCAATACATCTTTTAAACTTTAGATTAATTAAAGAATCATGAAAAATGTATCAGTTTTCCACAAAAATAGCAAGCAGTACAACTGCTTTCAACATTGATAATAATCAGAAATGTTTCTTGAGCAGCAAATCAGCATATCAGAATGATTTCTGAAGGATCATGTGACACTGAAGACTGGAGTAATGATGCTGAAAATTCAGCTTTGCATCACAGGAATAAATTACATTTTGAAATCTATTCAAATAGAAAACCGTCCTTTTAATTGTAATAATATTTCAGAATATTACCGTTTTTACTGTACCCCAAACCTCTGAATGGTAGTGTAAGTCTTTGCATTAAACTATCAAAATGAATTTATCAGTAACAAAATCTTCTCGTTAAAAAGAAAGACATGAAGCTGCTGGTCATGAATATATGCAAAAATGTGGACTAATGACTAAGGAATCATGAGACAAAAAAATTAATTAGCAAAACAATTATGCAAAATACCGTTTCATGGCCAGTAAGAGATATTTAACCACCATTGGCATGTGTTTAAAACTTTACTACATAATCTGGTTTTGAGGAATGAGAATAACACCAATAAAAAAAAATACTGGACTTGGCTTGAAATCAAGTATAGGAAGGGCAAAGGAGGTTTCAACGACAAGAAAAAAACTTTGAAATAAAATAGTAAAATAATAAAAGTAGGTGTGGGCAAACATTTACAGCTACGCATTATATTATTGAATTTTTACACGACAAATAAAAAGTGTCAGCTGACTTCCGCACCACTCAGAAGTCCATAGAGAGGGAGCGTTGTTGGACAGGGTTGGCATGATTACGTACCATCATGACGTTGCGTCCACGGGTGATAAAATCATTGTAGCCGATCTCCTCCATCACCCGTTCCTCCAGCCCCAGCTCCTCATCTTCCAGTGCCTCTCTCAGACTCTGGGCGCTGTAAGCGTGAGCGCGCGGGTCGTGCGTGAAAGGGTGCGAGTGGGAGCTGCTCCTGCGTCCGTGGAAGCTGCCCCAGCCTCTGGCTCCAACATCCGTACTCATGTCATCAGAGTCGTGCGAGAGATGATGCGCTCTGCTTGCCATGACGATGGAGGCGGCGCTGCTCGGAGCGCCACAGTGATGCTCGTGGACACAGCGGGACATGCTGGAGGAGCGGCGGAGTTTCTGCAGACTCTCCAGCTCCTCCGACAGATCCTCCGGCAGCTCCGCTTCCCGCATGGAGAAGAGCTCGTACTGAGGAGGCTCCAGCACCTCCTGCGTCTCTGCAGCGCTGAATAAACCCTTACGGCTCAAAACCTGCGGCAGACAAATACACATTAGCAAGGTCACATTTTCACGCATGTTAAATATTAGTATCATCACATGTATCATGTAACAAATATTAGGGTTTAAATCCTTAAAGTGAGTGCACAATGGCATTCACAACCCATTCTACTTTTGTAATTTCATGCATTTCTAATTTTTTTTTAAGTTAAGAGGGATATGATTTTTGGACAATCTAATTACATTTTGATAAGAGATTGCAAAGAACATTTTTGTAAAAAGTTTAAATAAAATGCTTAATGAACATGCACAATGACGACTGGATTTGTGCATTAAATATGTCAATTGAGAACTTTTAAATTATTCTTTAATGAATTATTAATTTTAATGAATGGCATTTTGTCATTATTATTCATGCTGTCATGTAAGGCTGCTTAGTCCCGGCAAAAATCATACTCGTGATTATTTTGGTCAATATTGAGATCACTATTATCTACCCCAGTTACTTATTGAAATATCATATTTATTGAACATAAAAAAAGGATTTGTTTAAAAAACAAATCAAATGAAAATGAAACTAGTAAATAAAATACATAATTTTATATATACACATGAACATAGACATACTGTACATACATATATATATATATATAATTATAAAAAGATAAATATAAAAAAAAGTTAGAAACTGTAAGCCACATGGATGATGCGATACCAATACTGTCCATTTGATGGACCTCTCACACAGCATGTTTGAAATCTAGCAGCACTGGTTTTTGGTAAGAAAAATATGTTTTTGTGTGTTACAGATCTTTTTTATAGTTATAATGCATTCCTAGAGAAAAGGATTGAAGATAAAGGAAAATTTCATCCAAAAAGTTCAAACTTACAGAATGGAAAATTAAATTTGTGAGCCGTTTTTTAAAAATCTCCTTTTGCATTCAATGGATAAATAACAGCATATGGTTTTGGAACAACATGAGGAGGAGTAAGTAATGACAGAATTTCCATTTCTGGATGAACCATTACTTGAATAAAACTGCAGAATGTAAAAAGGAAGATTAGTGCTTACGTTCAGCAAAGACCGTGAAGAGCATACGGAAGCGGCTCAGTTTGCTGGTCTCGTCGGCCCACATTCTGACCACACCCACAGCATTATCAAGCGTGATGTCGTTGGCAACGGTGCTGCAGAACTTGGCCTTTAGATCTTCAATGGCATTACTGCCTTCATAGATTGCAACAAAGTTCTTCTTACACTCATTTGAGTTCTCCAACTGATATTCCAGAAAGCGGAGATAGATCTGTGTGTGTGACAGAGACACAAAGAGACAGTTAATGGCACTGTAAGTACATATAATGGTATATACACAGTATAACATTTTATTCTATGGCTATCTGAAAAACTGTCTGATTCTGATTGGTCACTTACAGTATTCTGTTGCAAAATATTTTTATGTCAAGCCGCCAAACTGCATAATTGTTCATTTTCGCAGGCCACCGATTTCCTGCATATCTGTGTTAGACTGATGTCTCTACAGTGATTTTCTTCTTACATAAAATAATTTCTGCATTTAATTGTATTTATTTGGAAAGAAAACATAAGAAAATATTATTCATTATAATTCATTTAAATGTGTATATATATATATATATATTTTTTTTTTTTGTATTACAGTTTATCTAAAGTTTACTTGTATTTTTATTTATTATGTTTCATTTTTATATTTTTTAAATGCATGTATGCATAATATTACTTCTTTTTTTATGCATATTATATTTTTTTATATGCATGATATATTTCTTTTATTTAATTATCTAATTTTTATTCGATTTGTTTTTCAGTTGACTATGTTTAAAGTTCAAGAAAATCCTCTGTTAAAAAGACAAGTTCTTTAAAAAATGTTCAATAAATGCATGATGTTCCAAAGTCAATAAGTAATTGTAGTAGATGACTGTGAATATTTATCAAAATAATCACGCTTTAAATCGCTGCTCTAAAAGCATGGATAATAATGGGGAAAAGACATTAATTAAAATGAATAAATATTCAAATGAATTAAGAATAATTAAAGTGTACTCAATTGAAATATTTAATGCAAAAGCCAGTCATGTTGTGCATATTCATTGAGCACTTTGATAGAGGGGTTTATTTTATGATAATAACCAGCTGGCTGTATGTTATCCTGTATCTTACACAACTTCATTCCAAGACTCGACATCAGTAACTGTACATGATCCGTTACAAACCTGTGAGAGAAGCAGATGTTTCATCATAGCTGCATTACTAACCTTAGACATCGGTGGAGCTCGTATGGTCCAAATACAGTCCAGTGCTTCCCCTAATTTCACCTTGTTTTCCTCCTCAACTTGACTAGATCTGATTATACCATCTGATCCAGACATTTCAAACTGACAGTCTGACGGGAGGAGACAACAAAGACAATTAAATTAACATTACAGCATTCAAATATTATAACTTGATATCTTTCAAGTACTTGAGAAGAGACCTGAGAGTCTGCAGACAGCAGCTGGGAAAAGTAATACTAATAAATTCTAGGGCACTGAAATATTCAGGAGTTTACATAACTGATGCACTAAATATGGAATTTACATTTATATTTGTTGGGTGCCGTAACCATAGCAACTGAACAAGAGGGTGTGTGAAATATCATTCCGATAGATAGCAAAACATTTTGAAAAATCAAATCTCAAGTACTTAAACGGCTTTCTTAAAAAAAAAAATCCTTCAAAAACATCCTTTTTGAAGGATGTGCTGCTACATCAGGTTTAGATAGTAGGTTAGTAGAAATCTAAAACATATTTGCCATAGACCAGTATACCTTTTCAATCACCTACTAACAGTTTTCAATTTTTGAGCACAAAAGTTGATCAAATGTAAAACCATAAAATGTATGATTCTTTAAAAATGCTAGTTACATAAGTAGTCAGTGCAGAAGCTTTTATCCAAAGCAATAAGTAGACAAACACCCTGAAATAACCACCACCCGCCCCATACTACATACATATGTATTTTCTGTTTACCTGGAATGGGATTCAAGAGTCCCCCAATATGGAGATGAAAGTCAGGATCTGGACTCAAGAAAGGTTTTTGATTAAAAAAATCAAATGCAATAAAACTAACACAAAGGGAACTGAGAAAAACGGCATTCAAGTAAAAGATTCTAAGATCTAAATGCATGAAGATCTATCTGCAAGATGCATTTACCTGCAGTATATGAATACTCCACCCTGAAGCCCAGTCCCTCCAGCTCCTCGTCGCTGGTAAACCTGATCCACATGAAGCGTCCGGAAGAGGTGACAATTCCTGGACTCTTTGCCCCGCAGAACCGATTAATCAACGGAGAGAAAACAAACGGCCCATCACGGATTTCAATATTATCAAAGCGACACTCAAAGGACGGCTCGATGTAGTAGATGTCATCGAAGATGAGCTGGATTCTCTTCCGTGGATGGGCTGAAGTGGACGAGAAACAGAGGTTACAACATGAATAACTGTTGCGACTGAGAAATATACACCACTGTTCAAACGTTTGGGGTTGGTAAGAGGTTTTTGCGAGAAAAAGTCTCTTATGTTTACCAGGGCTGCATTTATTTGATAAATAAAATACAGTAAAAACAGTAATATTGTGAAATATGATATGGTTTTCTATTTGAATATATTTTCAAATGCAATTTATTCCTGTGATGCAAAGCTGAATTTTCAGCATCATTACTCAAGGCTTCAGTGTCACAAGATATGCTGATTTGCTGCTCAAGAAACATTTCTTATCAATGTTGAAAACAGTTGTGCTGCTTAATATTTTTGTGGAAACTCATACTTTTTTCATGATTCTTTGATGAATATAAAGTTGAAAACACAGCATTTACCGGTGTTTGTAATTGAAATCTTACATGATAAATGTATTTTTTTGTCACTATTGATCAATTTAATGCATCCTATGCCGCGAGCAAGCATGAGCTCTTGAAGCTCCGCACTCTTCTGAAAAGGGAGGCGGGAGCACCAGCTCATTTTCATTTAAAGGTGACAAACACAAAAAAACAGCGCGTTTTGGCTCATACCCTAAAAGTGGCAATTTCAACAAGCTATAAAAAATTATCTGTGGGGTATTTTGAGATAAAACTTCACATACACACTCTGGGGACCTCAGAGAACAATTTAAAATATTGTATCAATGCATTCATTCTATGGCACCTTTAAAGGATTAGTTCACTTCCAGAATAAAAATTTCCCTGATAATTTACTCAGACCCATGTCATCCAAGATGTTCATGTCTTTCTTTCTTCAGTCGAAAAGAAATTAGGGTTTTTGAGTAAAACAGTCCAGGATTCTATTTCTCCATGTAGTCAATGGTACACAACGGGCTGAAGGTCCAAACTGCAGTTTTAATGCAGCTTCAAAGGGCTCTTTATGATCCCAGCCAAAGAATAAGGGTCTTATCTAGCGAAACGATCTGTCATTTTCTAAAAAAAAAAAAAAAAACACACTACTTTTTAACTACAAATGCTTGTCTTGCACTGGCTCAGAGATGCACATAATCATGTTGGAAAGGTCACACGTGGTTAGTTCTTCGTCTGTGTACTTCGGTTCAAAAAGGTACTGTAGGGCGGAAAAACTCCATCTCATTTTCTCCTCCAACTTCAAAATCGTCTGACATCGTTTGTAAAGGGCATTTGACTTTCTTTGCACCTTGCTTTGTAAACACTGGGTCGATACTTCCGCCTACGTCACACATGATCTTTCCAAAGTGACTACATAATGCGGGAAGTAGAGCTAGTGCAAGAAGAGCATTTGTGGTTAAAAAGTATATACATTTTTTTTTTTAATGGCAGATTGTTTCATTAGGTAAGACCCTTATTCCTCGGCTGGGATCGTGTAGAGCCCTTTGAAGCTGCATTGAAACTTCAATTTGGACCTTCAACCTCTTGGGTCCCACTGAAGTCCATTACATGGAGAAAAATCCTGGAATGTTTTCCTCAAAAACCTTAATCTCTTTGATGACATGGGTGTGAGAAAATCAGGAATTTTTTATTCTGCAAGTGAACTAATCCTTTAATTCAGCAAGAACCCCAAACTTTTGAATGGTTATGTATGCAGTGCATATTTGACCAAAGCAACAAATAGGACAGGCATCTGTGGAAGCTTGTGGAAGTGAGACTCATACCCTCCAGGATGTACACACACTCCTTGTTTGGTGGGTAAGTGTTGGGGTAGTTTGGAGAACTGAATGATCCTCCATTTGCCGTCTGGATCAAAGTTCCGCAGTGAGCCGGTTTCTTATCCTCAACAGCCACATTCTGAGGCAAAGCTAACAGGATACACACACATAAGATGATCTACATTAAAGGTAAAGGCTATTAAAGCAAAACAGATGGGAAAGACTCATTAAATGTTCATTTCAATTTCTTGTTCTGTTTCAATCTCTCTCACACTCAAATTTAAACACGTGGCTTTGCATGTGAGTTTCCACTTCAAACCAACCTTGAGTTTTCTGTGCCAGTGCGAAACCCTCCTCTATCAGGATAAGCAGAACCAAGGCTGCAAGAAAACAAAAATGGGGCATGTTTACAAAGTATTGGGCATCTTGGAGTGGTCTTGGACGTTCAGTGAACTTTTCTTAACAAGATACACACTATGAAGAAATCAAACACAACTCAGATAGCAGGTATGTCAAGTCTCTTATGTTTACAAGCCTGTAATTACTTTATTAATATTTCTGTTTTTACTGATTTTACTGTTTTTATTGATCGAGTTTAAAATAACTGTTTTCTAGTTTCATATATTTTAAAAAGTACTTTATTCCTGTCACGCAAAGCTAAATTTTCAGCATCATTACTCCAGTCTTCAGTGTTGATCCTTCAGAAATCATTCTAATATGCTGATTTGCTTCTCAAGAAACATTTAGCCTATTATTTTTATCAATGTTTAAAACAATTGTGCGGATTGATATTTTTGTGGAAACAGTGATAATATTTTTCAGGATTCTTTGATGTTAAGAAATTTCAAAAGAACAACATTTATTTGAAATAATAATAAAAAAAAAAACATTTATCTTTCCTAACATTATAATTGTCTTTACTGTCAATTTTAATCAATTAAATGTTTGCCTACTGAATAAAATTATTCACTTCTTTAAAAAATAAATCAAGCAATCAGTCAATCTCTTATTGACCCCAAACTTTTGAGCTGTAGTGTAGCTCTTTGTTCTCACTAAATATAAATGCAACCAAGGTCTCAACTGTTTTCATAATATGAACATTATTACATTCAAACACCTTACTAATTTGTCATAATTATTGCTCTTAACACCACATTGTTTTACTTCACACCTGCTTATACTGCTATTTGTCTGCCCTTGAAAACAAGATATTCACAGTGGGATGTGGATGTTCAGGTCACATTCATCAAGCCTAAAATAAAATTTAACAAGCTCCCAAACTCCTGATCCACACATACAGAGCTGCCAATTCACAAGTTTTATTAAAAGGGAAAAATGACACCAGCCTAAGATCTGAACCCAGAACATTTTGCAATCAGAGCTCAAGCTCAACAGTGAGTTGCACTCTTCTGAAAAGGGAGGCGGGAGCACCAGCTCATTTTCATTTAAAGGTGACAAACACAAAAAAACAGCGCGTTTTGGCTCATACCCTAAAAGTGGCAATTTCAACAAGCTATAAAAAATTATCTGTGGGGTATTTTGAGATAAAACTTCACATACACACTCTGGGGACCTCAGAGAACAATTTAAATTATTGTATCAATGCATTCATTCTATGGCACCTTTAAAGGATTAGTTCACTTCCAGAATAAAAATTTCCCTGATAATTTACTCAGACCCATGTCATCCAAGATGTTCATGTCTTTCTTTCTTCAGTCGAAAAGAAATTAGGGTTTTTGAGTAAAACAGTCCAGGATTCTATTTCTCCATGTAGTCAATGGTACACAACGGGCTGAAGGTCCAAACTGCAGTTTTAATGCAGCTTCAAAGGGCTCTTTATGATCCCAGCCAAAGAATAAGGGTCTTATCTAGCGAAACGATCTGTCATTTTCTAAAAAAAAAAAAAAAAACACACTACTTTTTAACTACAAATGCTTGTCTTGCACTGGCTCAGAGATGCACATAATCATGTTGGAAAGGTCACACGTGGTTAGTTCTTCGTCTGTGTACTTCGGTTCAAAAAGGTACTGTAGGGCGGAAAAACTCCATCTCATTTTCTCCTCCAACTTCAAAATCGTCTGACATCGTTTGTAAAGGGCATTTGACTTTCTTTGCACCTTGCTTTGTAAACACTGGGTCGATACTTCCGCCTACGTCACACATGATCTTTCCAAAGTGACTACATAATGCGGGAAGTAGAGCTAGTGCAAGAAGAGCATTTGTGGTTAAAAAGTATATACATTTTTTTTTTTAATGGCAGATTGTTTCATTAGGTAAGACCCTTATTCCTCGGCTGGGATCGTGTAGAGCCCTTTGAAGCTGCATTGAAACTTCAATTTGGACCTTCAACCTCTTGGGTCCCACTGAAGTCCATTACATGGAGAAAAATCCTGGAATGTTTTCCTCAAAAACCTTAATCTCTTTGATGACATGGGTGTGAGAAAATCAGGAATTTTTTATTCTGCAAGTGAACTAATCCTTTAATTCAGCAAGAACCCCAAACTTTTGAATGGTTATGTATGCAGTGCATATTTGACCAAAGCAACAAATAGGACAGGCATCTGTGGAAGCTTGTGGAAGTGAGACTCATACCCTCCAGGATGTACACACACTCCTTGTTTGGTGGGTAAGTGTTGGGGTAGTTTGGAGAACTGAATGATCCTCCATTTGCCGTCTGGATCAAAGTTCCGCAGTGAGCCGGTTTCTTATCCTCAACAGCCACATTCTGAGGCAAAGCTAACAGGATACACACACATAAGATGATCTACATTAAAGGTAAAAGCTATTAAAGCAAAACAGATGGGAAAGACTCATTAAATGTTCATTTCAATTTCTTGTTCTGTTTCAATCTCTCTCACACTCAAATTTAAACACGTGGCTTTGCATGTGAGTTTCCACTTCAAACCAACCTTGAGTTTTCTGTGCCAGTGCGAAACCCTCCTCTATCAGGATAAGCAGAACCAAGGCTGCAAGAAAACAAAAATGGGGCATGTTTACAAAGTATTGGGCATCTTGGAGTGGTCTTGGATGTTCAGTGAACTTTTCTTAACAAGATACACACTATGAAGAAATCAAACACAACTCAGATAGCAGGTATGTCAAGTCTCTTATGTTTACAAGCCTGTAATTACTTTATTAATATTTCTGTTTTTACTGATTTTACTGTTTTTATTGATCGAGTTTAAAATAACTGTTTTCTAGTTTCATATATTTTAAAAAGTACTTTATTCCTGTCACGCAAAGCTAAATTTTCAGCATCATTACTCCAGTCTTCAGTGTTGATCCTTCAGAAATCATTCTAATATGCTGATTTGCTTCTCAAGAAACATTTAGCCTATTATTTTTATCAATGTTTAAAACAATTGTGCGGATTGATATTTTTGTGGAAACAGTGATAATATTTTTCAGGATTCTTTGATGTTAAGAAATTTCAAAAGAACAACATTTATTTGAAATAATAATAAAAAAAAAAACATTTATCTTTCCTAACATTATAATTGTCTTTACTGTCAATTTTAATCAATTAAATGTTTGCCTACTGAATAAAATTATTCACTTCTTTAAAAAATAAATCAAGCAATCAGTCAATCTCTTATTGACCCCAAACTTTTGAGCTGTAGTGTAGCTCTTTGTTCTCACTAAATATAAATGCAACCAAGGTCTCAACTGTTTTCATAATATGAACATTATTACATTCAAACACCTTACTAATTTGTCATAATTATTGCTCTTAACACCACATTGTTTTACTTCACACCTGCTTATACTGCTATTTGTCTGCCCTTGAAAACAAGATATTCACAGTGGGATGTGGATGTTCAGGTCACATTCATCAAGCCTAAAATAAAATTTAACAAGCTCCCAAACTCCTGATCCACACATACAGAGCTGCCAATTCACAAGTTTTATTAAAAGGGAAAAATGACACCAGCCTAAGATCTGAACCCAGAACATTTTGCAATCAGAGCTCAAGCTCAACAGTGAGTTGACATCATTGATGAGGCTTGACAACAAAGGTTTTTAAAATTACTGCAGCACATGTTGGCCAAGGATGTGTTTAGGGACATCACATGTGATTTTCATGACATGAGGGATTGAGAGTTAGCTTATCAAACTCTGATATCAAACCAATTTATGTAATTTCATCAAACAGGATGGGAGTGAGACAAATCAACTGAAACCACAAAACAGAACTCTAAAACTTGCTCGTGTTTTTGATGTTGTTTCTCACTAAAATACATGGGAATGACCCAAAAGCATCAGCCTCTTCAAGCCATTAGAGATTATGACTTGATGAAAGAACGTCACGAATACAGTTCTAGGATACGTATGTGGTTTGATTAAGGGTTTGTTGAAGAGCTGTGTTCAGCACCAGATGTCCGATCTGCTGTATTTTCACTGTCCAACACAGACTGTGGTCAAAGCAGACATTCAATCTGGTTTGATATAACTTTACTAAAGGCTTTCTGCCAAACCATTAATAAATGTCTCATATTGTTTGTGGTACAACCTCGGCACTGTAAAATGGAATAAAGTTTATTAAAGCCTTTTAAATTAAGCTCCAAACCAGTTAAAATATATGCACTGTTTAAATGATCACAGAATAGTTATTTTCCATTCATGGCCCAACAAGACCATGCCTGCTGACAACTAACATAAAAAGAGCTTTCATAAATAACTTAAGCTGCCAGTGAAGTATGATGGCACTTATTTGCAATTCAAATGAAGCTGAAACTCCCTTTGATCTCTGAGAGAGAAGATGAGATTCTCACCTGAGAATAGAGATTCTGCCACATTCATTTACAATGGCCTAGATAAGGCAATGAAGCCACTCTGTGCTGAAGTCAACCACTGAGGTAACCATTGAGGTATAGGATCTACACTTGGCCAGGTTTACCTACCGTGTGTTACTTAACAGAATAATACATAAATGCATGGATGGATGGTTTGAAGGTGGTTTGTCAAACAAAACAGGCAAAAATATTAATGAATGACATTTTTTTAAACAGCTGCTACAGTATGTGCACAGGTTTGTTTCTGTAAAGAGAAAACTGAAAAGCAAAAACAACCATAAGGAGAAAACGTTTGTTTTTATTTCATTATCATGTTTTATTTATTACTGAAGAATGGAATAGTCACTTTCTCATTGTTCTGGAGATGGATCACATTATGGAAGTAAAATGGGTTGTGACTAACATTTTTGCACATATGTTGAATACTTAGCAATTCCAAAAGAACAAAAAAAAAATTACTTTTAATAAATGCACAATTACTGTTCAAATGTGACAAATCTTTCACTTTTTAAAGGAATAGTTCACCCAAAAATGTTCTTCAGCAAAACATTGCATCACTTACTCACCAGTGAAATGGGTGCCGTCAGAATGAGAGTCCAAACATCTGATAAA